CATCGCCGCGGGGTCCCGGCCCCGGGCCCAGCCGGGCCGGCAGCAGCGAGCGGCGCCGGCAACAACCAACGGCCGAGCCGGGCCGGCAACCCCGGGCCCCAGCGGCCCCGTCCCGCCGGGCCGGCGCATGGAGAAGCCCGGCAGGATGGACTGTCCCGCGCTGCCTCCCGGCTGGAAGAAGGAAGAGGTGATCCGAAAGTCGGGCCTGAGCGCCGGCAAGAGCGATGTCTACTACTTCAGGTACGGGCCCGAGGGATCCCGGTGGGGCTGCCGAGGTTGGGGGGCTCCCGGAGCCGCGGCTGGGTAGGGACAGTGGGGTCGGTGCCCACACGCCGCCGGCCCGGCTGTCATAGCTCGCTCGCTTCCGCCATGGCTCTGGCAGGGCTGTCCTGTCACGGGGCGATTCCGGTTCCCTGTGTGAGGGGGAGCGCGGGCTCCTGTCAAGGGGGGGGAGCTCGGGGTGATTCCGGTTCACTTTCTGAGGGGAACCGGGCTCCTGTCACGGGGCGAGCTCGGAGTTTTGTCACGGGGCGGTTCCGGTTCTCTGAGGGGGAACCGGGATCCTGTCACGGGAGGAGCTCGGAGTTTTGTTACGGGGTGGTTCCGGCTCTCTCTGAGGGGAACCGGGCTCCTTTCACGGGGCGGTTCCGGTTCTCTCTGAGGGGGGACCGGGCTCCTGTCACGGGGCGATTCCGGTTCACTTTCTGAGGGGAACCGGGGCTCTTGTCACGGGGGGAGCTCGGAGTTTTGTCACGGGGTGGTTCCGGTCCTTTCTGAGGAGGAACCGGGCTCCTTTCACGGGGCGGTTCCGGTTCTCCCCGAAGGGAAACCGGGCTCCTGTCACGGAGCGATTCCGATTCTCTCTGAAGAGCATTCCGGGTTCTTTTCACTGGGGGAGCTCGGAGTTTTGGCACGGGACGATTCCCGTTCCATGAGGAGGAACCGCCTCCTGTCACCGGATGGTTCCGGTTCTCTGTCTGAGGGGGAACCGGGGCTCCTGTCACGGGAGTAGCTCGGAGTTTTGTCACGGGACGATTCCGGTTCCATGAGGGGGAACCGGGCCCTCCTAACGGGGCGGTTCCGGTTCTTTCTGAGGGGGAACCGGAGCTCCTGTCACGGGAGGAGCTCGGAGTTTTCTCCCGGGACTGTTCCGGTTCTTTCTGAGGGGGAACCGGGGCTCCTGTCAGGGGGAGAGCAGGGATTTTTGTCCCGGGACGATCACGGTTCCATGAGGGGGAACCGGGCCTCCCTCAAGGGATGATCCCGGTTCCGTGAGGGGGAACCGGGCTCCCCTCACGGGGCGGTTCCGGTTCCTTCTCTGAGGGAAATCTCGGTTTTTTAAAGGAATTTTTAGGAGTTTTGAGGGATTTTTGAGGTTTTTAGGGAATTTTTTTTGGGGGGAAAAATTAGGGTTGGGTTTTTTTATGGATTTTTTGGGGGTTTTAATGGGATTTTTGAGGGGTTTAATGGGATTTTGTGGGTGTTTTTAGGGATTTTTAATGGAATTTTTGAGGTGAAAAATTGGGATGGGAAGGGGAAAACCGGGATTGGGATTTTTATGGATTTTTTTTTCTTGTTTTAATGGAATTTTTGAGGGATTTTTGTGTTTTAAAGGGATTTTTTGAGAGGTTTTTATGGAATTTTTGAGGTGAAAATTTGGGATTGGAGGGGAAAACCGGGATTGGAATTTTTAGCGTTTTAATGGATTTTTTGGGGGGAATTTTTGGCATTTTTAGGGATTTTTTGGGGAAAAAATTGGGATTTGAGGGGAAAAATGTCAGACTGGGAATTTTATGGATTTTTTTGGGTTTTAATGGAATTTTTGGGGAATTTTTGGGATTTTTTAGGTATTTTTTGTGGGAGTTTTTAGGTAATTCAAGCTGGGAAAATCCACTCTGGAAGGACTCGGATGGAAGAGGAGTGGGAAAATGAAGGTTATTATGGAAATTAGCTCATTTGCATAATGAATTAACTGATTTTAATTTCCAGCTGAACGAGTTTATGCAAAAACCTGGATTAAAGGAGGGTGTGACGCTGAGAATTCCCAATTTTCTTCCCGTGGGATGATCCTGGGTTTTCCTTTTGCTGTTTTGCCCTAAAATCTCTGTTTTTCCCTTCCAAAATTCCCTAAAATGCCCCAAAATCTCCAAAATAATTCCCCAAAAAATTTCCAAAAAAACCCAAAAAATTCTCAAAAAATTTTCCAAAAAGCCTTTAAAAATTTCAAAAACAATTCCTAAAAATTCCCCAAAAAAAAACTCCTGAAAAATCCTCAGAAAATACAAAAAAATTCCCAAAAAATCCCCAAAAATTTCAAAAAATCCCACAAAAATTCCCAAAAAAACCTTAAAAAATCCCCCAAAATCCCTAAAAATTCTTTAAAAAGTCTCAAAAAATCCCCCAAAATTCCCAAAAAATTCTCAAAAAAATTCTCAGAAAATTCCAAAAAAAATCACTAAAAATTCCCCAAAAAATCCTTAAAAAATATGAAAAAAATTACCAAAAAGTCCCCCCAAAAATCCCTAAAAATTACCAAAAAATTCCCAGAAAATTCCCAATCAATGCCATAAAAATTCCTAAAAATTCTCCAAAAATTCTGAAAAAATCCTCAATAAATTCACCGAAAATCACCAAAAAATCCCAAAAAAACCTTATAAAATTCTCAAAATATTCTGAAAAAAATCCCCAAAAATTCCTAAAAAATTCTCAAAAAAATCCCAAAAAATCCTCAAAAAAATCTCCAAAAAATCCCAAAAAAATTCCTAAAAATTCTTTGAAAAAAAATGCCTAAAAAATTCTCAAAAACCCTTAAAAAATTCCCAAAAAATTCCCAAAAAATTCCCAAAAAATTCCCAAAAAATTCCCAAAAAATTCCCAAAAAATTCCCAAAAAATTCCCAAAAAATTCCCAAAAAATTCCCAAAAAATTCCCAAAAAATTCCCAAAAAATTCCCAAAAAATTCCCAAAAAATTCCCAAAAAATTCCCAAAAAATTCCCAAAAAATTCCCAAAAAATTCCCAAAAAATCTCCCAAAAATCCTCAAAAATTCCCCCCAAAAAATTCGAATTTTCCCCTCTAAAACCTCCGTAAAACCCCCAAAAATTGCCGGAAAACCGCCAACAAACCGCCCAAACTCCGCGTTTTTTTTCCTAAAATGCCCCAAAATCCTGTAAAACTTCCCAAAATCCCCAAATTTCACCCTTCCCTCCCTTCCAGCCCCAGCGGGAAGAAGTTCCGCAGCAAGCCGCAGCTGGCGCGCTACCTGGGCAACTCGGTGGACCTGAGCTCCTTCGACTTCCGCACGGGCAAGATGATGCCCAGCAAGCTGCAGAAGAACAAACAGAAGCTCAGGAACGACGCCCTCAACCCCAACAAGGTGGGGAGAAATAATTCAATTTACTTTTGGTTTAATTGTTCTGCCTCCTTCCCAAAATTTCCCCAATTTTTCCCCAATTTTTCCTGATTTTTTCCCATTTTTTCCGCAATTTTTCTCCATTTTTTTCCCACTTTTTCCCATTTTTTTCCCCAATTTTTCTCCATTTTTCCCCCAATTTTTCTCATTTTTCCCACATTTTATTCCAAATTTTCCCCAATATTTCACCAATTTTTTCCCCAATTTTTCCTGATTTTTTCCTATTTTTTCCCATTTTTTCCGCAATTTTTCTCCATTTTTTTCCCATTTTTTCCCCAATTTTTCTCATTTTTCCCCCATTTTATTCCCCATTTTGCCAAATATTTCTCCAATTTTTTCCCCAATTTTTCCTGATTTTCCCCCCAATTTTTTCCCATTTTTTCCATTTTTTCTCCATTTTTCCCCAATTTTTCTAATTTTTCCCCCATTTTTTCCCCATTTTTTCTCCATTTTCCCCCATTTTATTCCCCAATTTTTCTCAACTTTATTCCCAATTTTCCCCAATATTTCCCTAAATTTTTCCCCAATTTCTCCTGGTTTTCCCCATTTTCCCCCAATTTTTTACAATTTTTTCCCAATTTTTCTCCATTT